CTCCCTGGAAAGATATCAGACAAGTTCTCTTAAGTTATATGGGTTTGAGACTTACCAATGCAAGAGTACCGACACCTATTCCACCCACTGTGCGACCAAGAACGAGCATTTCATAGTTGACCGCAGCAGTTTGAAGTATAGCACCAATATTGAAGATCACAACAACAACAGCCAGAGCCTTCTTTCGGGAGATCTTATCGGCCATCCAGGGCATGAAGAAACAGCCCAAGAAAGCTCCAAACTCCAGCATGCCAGTCATGAAGCCCTTCCCAAAGCCAGAAGCTGCCCTAGGAAAGACATCATGGAACTGAGGCATGACATTGATGATGGAAATAACGCCTTGGTCATATCCAAAAGAGAAGCCGCCTAACGATGCGAGAAATGCAGCTCCAAAGACAAAAGGGGACTGTATAACGCCCCGTATACCTCCGGGGCCATAGGCGACGCTGTCCGCGAGTTTGGTCGGGAGGTCTGCTGTAGGTACGATGTTGATGTCTTCTATGGTACCATCATCTTCATCATGGAGAATTTTGTCATCTTTGGAAGACATGGTTAGTAATAGAAGGATAAGGGGTTATGTGGAGCGCTGGATGTTGGGTTACTAGTGTTCATGGAACTGTTTGGAACGGAGAAGCACGACTCGATCAGGATATGACAGACTTTATATACTGACAAGAAGACTACAGTTCTCTGGATAAACTTCCGAAGCTACTCAACGGCTGGAGTGGCTGTTCTAATTCTCTTAGCTCCGAAACCTAATTCAGGTACCTTCACAGTCTTTACTCCACGCCCTTAAGCCAAACACAGGCAGTATAATGACGACTAACTGTTCCCAACGGCGCCACCCGGACAGTCAAAAACTGGAGAACGCGAGTGATGACGGGACGTTGTCATGAAGGAGTACGCATACATGGGATGTGGCTAAGATATTGTGCGGGGAATAAAGTTCATCATCTGGGGTTTGGTCTGGGGAATATCAGGGAGGATGCAAGGATTCGTCGATCATATTATACAGACTTGATAGTGATGAGAGATTAAGGAAACGCCTCACCGTGACATGGAAATGCATTCGCTTCTTCTCAAGATTGTGTCAGGTCCTCTAGGCTCTGAGAACTTGAATGCTTTGCAACTGAATTTGAATTCCAAGTGTCTAGATGCATCTTTGGAGTTGGAGTTCAAGGTCTAAAGCTCGTGGTATCCTTCTCCGAATCTTGTTTCATCCCCAGGACGCTAGACCTCGACAGAGAATGATCGGCATTTACCTACTCGGCGATATTGCAACACGACTCATGATCCGGCCTACAGGTCCATGGCTTACTTTATGCTCCCTGATTGTCTGTCTTTCTATTTTCCTATAAGGATAAAACGGCTAAGGTGTATCCTACACAACTACAGCTTCCCATGTAGATTTGCTTCAAGTTGAAGACGAGCTTGTGCTGAGCTTGGTGGCTGTTCTGATCACTTCTAGGGAACTCTAGTGACCTACACCCTCCAAATGGCTTCTACAATAAATTTCCATGTGATATTACATTGTCTACTGATTGTCGGTTGAAACGATTCGGCATGCGTTTATGTCACGGCGAGTTATGCGAACAGTCGGATAGCTCTCCGAATTCATATGAGATATACATCCTGTAATTGTAACAAGCAGGGATTCATATGAGGCAATGACGTTCAGAAACTATATCTCTCCTTCTACGGAAACTGGCGGCATTGGCATCGATCTTCGAGAACACGAGCGAATCATACACCATGGAATAAGCTCCAATACTTCATTGGAGAAGTTGTCGATCCGCTTTACTATACAAGGTTGGCTTCGCCGTCGATGCAACGATCGACAAGCTCGCCGCCTATTTCCTAACAAGGACAAGTTGGCTATTGCAACCCTGACCTCAAGTTCATGCCCTGGATCCTCGGAGTTGAGGCTCGTGGCCGGCGCCGAGACTTGCCGGAATGGGCAACACTTCAGCCCTGTTAGAGATCATGGGCTGGGATGGCATCTCTTGGCACGCGCCCAGTTACGGTTTACGGAGCAAGGGGAATATTTGAGCGATATCCTATTATGGAAATTTACGATGAGAGTAATATCTTGGTCAATTATTAACTCGGGCGCGATCTCGTTATGCGCGTATGTTTGCCACTGACTTCTTGTCATGGCGTCATGTCTGTTTACATCGATTGGCGATAACCAATGGTTAAAAACCAGGGCTGGATGCGGCTCTGTTGTAGTCCTGGAACCATTCCTCCTCATGTGCTTTCTTTGCCATGCGTGACCCGGTGACTGATAGCTGCTAAAGACATGTTCGCCTCAAATTTCATGAGTTTGGGTAAAATGCAAATCTTTGCTGCCACATTCGTGGATGGTCAAACGTAGGGAACACTTCATCAGCAGCACGATCGTGATGCATCGGAACGCCCAGGGCATGAGATAAAGCACAAGACCTCCGAATCAAGTTTTGTGAAGGTTTAGATGAGCTTAGCAGACTCTTTTGATTACCTGGATGATCGTTGTCCCCGAGACAGGTAGTGAGAGGTTAAGTTGGATTATCTATTGATGTTTCAGTTCTCATGTATCAATCGGCGAATATACTAATCAGTCCCCGGGTTCAATATATCAACTAGTGCGATCTTTCTACTCCACGGAAATAGGAGCCAAACCAACTCCACGATAGTTCCCGCTTCTTCCCCACCAGGCGTATTACAGATCAAGGGCTGTGTAAGTGACTTCTGAAGCTTCGGGCCATAAATGGACTTCGATTTGATATTCTTATTCTACGAAACCCAATCAAATAAGCCACTGTTCCGCAGTTTGTCCAACGATAGGCTGGAACTCAAGTGCTGGGTACTCTATTTCTTGGCCTCTCAATTGGTGGTCTTGGGGCTGGGGCTGGCATTGAGTGGTGAACATTAAATGGTATGACGATGAGGTAACGTTGCCCATACAAACAAACAAGGTCTCAAGCCATTCTCGGTCATCTTGTTACCCAATCCTACCAATCTTGCACACATTTGTGTGTTTTTCGCATCAATTCTGCCTAATACCCCTCTTTTCGATATGGACGGCAATGACATAAGTGGGCGAACCACTGGCTGCCAATAATACCAGCAACGTCTTTTACCGTTGAGACTCCCCTGTTTTCATCCTCAATTGTCCTCGCCCTTGGCTCAAAATCATCTCAACTATATTTCAACCTCCAACAACACATCAACATCTCGACCCAAGCTCACTCACCATGATATTCCCTCCGCCAAATCGTCGGGCGCAGTCTCGCTGGGGGGTTGAAAATGAGTTGGGCTAACTCGAAAGGATGCCTTTTTCAACCTCGACCGCCAATCAACTTGTCCATCTCGCAGCCTTGTTCGGTACGAGATACCTTCACATTGTCCTACCTACCCATTGTGGACTCCCATTGTCGGGCCTCTTTAATCTGTTCCACTATGCCTCACCTCCCATCTCCCAATCCCTTCCCGTTTGCTTCATCACCTCCAAGCCTTCGCCACCAATCTGCCATCTCGACCTCATCAATAACTACAGCTATCATCCTCGTTTGGCTGAGTGCGGGTGTACTAGCCCGCCTCCCATAGCACTGTAACGCCATTGGGAGGTTTGCATCAAGGATCACCATGGGCGGTTTATCAAACCAGGGCTTGGGTCGCGCGAATAGCGACCAGAACGTTGAGAGTAACGAAAACATCGACCTTGGCAATCCCCCACGATGGAGTGACCTTACCGATTGGGAGCTGGAACAGCTAGAGGAACAGCAGCGTCGTGGAAGCAGTCTCCAAGTAGCGACCTGGCTACATCACCAACCGAACTCTCAGCCATCACAGAATACCTTTATCACTTCCCGATCTCTACCTCAACGCCAACTTGATAACTACAAAGTTATTGACCGTGTCGATGATGTGCTTAAAAAAGGCCGCAGGTCATCAACTCAGGCAATTGGTACGCCCAGTGCGACGGGTCCGCGCATTCGGCACATCACCACATCGAGCAATGTTACATCCATTGATGAGCGTTTAATGCAGAGGCCTAGGCCTTCAACACAATCTTTTCTGCCATTTGGTACCCCTTCCGACAGACAAATAAGATATACCGACAATGGCAATCATGATGAAGGAAGACCTCCGGGTTTAGCAACGCCCCAAGGTTCTTCTGCTTTCACTACTCTATCTGGACCGCATACGCGTGGTACTTCTAAGCAACCAACCGGTTCGATATCTCAGCAGACAGCTTGGTCGGTAGCCGGCACAGATACATCTTCAGGTTCAAAGAAGGTGCCTAAGCGCCAAAACAGTCGCTCAACCGATGATGAAGCGACTGGCAAATATCAACTCGCAAAGCGATACAGGTCCGGACACAAGAGCCAATCGGTACACCGTACGTCTCCAGCGTCATCTGGTTCTTCCAGACTCCCCCAGCAAGGCGCAAGTGTGCCACTGCAAACGATTGAGGATACACAAGAGTCTCGACGTCGAACTCGAAATATCCAACCATTGTCAGCTTCTAGTGGCTCAAATTCATCCAATGTTCGGAGAGACGGTCCAGTACGTGGGCGCCCAAACAATCTGGTCACGCCCGATGATTTCATAGGCGCTTGCGAGACATGTTTCTTCTGGCTATTCGACCCAAAGCGCTTGTCATCTCCTGAAAGGCATGCCTGCTCAGGCCGCAAGGATGAAATATCACACATCGTCACTCACGCCGCCGATCATCATGGTCTTATTCGTGGAAAAGATCCATACCATACTGCTCGCAAATACCTGACAAGTTGTCACACTTTCGACCCTTTCATCAAAGCGAAAGGAAACTGTGACAAATGCGACTCATTGCACGAGTGGCAGGGACAAGATTTCTCAGATCAAGAGCATCACGGCAAGGCCCTCTGCTTGCGATGCTGGCGCACGTTTGAGAAGAAGGGCATGCAAGATCATATGGCTGAACCATTATGTGATTACAATGCGGAGCAGCCAAAGGAGAAGAAGGTCTACATTCTATACACCACCTTCTGTTCAGTTACCGTAAAGCCCAGCGGACCTCCTAAAAACATGCCACCGCGCAAATCGAACTATCGAAGCCCGGCAAACAAGTACAATCGCACCAACCAGAGACAGCAAAGCAACAACAACCAGATACAACGCCGACCTGTCACGGAACAGTCCACTCGCGATCTTCGCCCTGCTGCATCAAAGGCACCCCATGGACAGGGCAAAGCAAAGTCCCCTTCAGCATCCACAGTCTCTCCGGCGACCCAGGACCGGTCACGGGCAGAGAGGCCCAACCAGTTTCCTCAACAGGCTATGAGAAACCCACCTAATCTACAGGCAGCGCCACCACGTCCTTTATCATGGCAGCAACAAAGTGCCCAGCAACCTGCCCAACCGCCAATTGCTCTGATGATATATAATACCCCACCAGAGCTTGTCGCGGGTATGGTGAAGAACATGCAAAGAAACGGGATTCAGGGGGTCACTCAATCTTCCTACTCGTCATTGAGTCAAGCAACTTCCTTTGGAAGTCTGCAAGGTGGATCTTCCGGCTACAGCTTTCAGTCACAACAAGCGCATCCACAACCACAGGCTCAGGCACAGAGCATGTTTCCCCCTTCTTACCCATACTCAAGTTGGCAGTCATCATTCCAACAGCCTCCTCCGCAGACATTCTCGCAGGCCCCCTCTCGGAATGGCGATTTTACCCGGCTTCAACTTGCATCTGCACAAAACGACTTGTCACAACAGTCTTTTGATCCATTCTTGATGCATAAAACGGCTACAAGCGATTGCCAAGGATCACGCATGCAAGTACCAACAAGTATGAATTCGCCTATCTATAATGAAGATAAAATGCTCTTTGGGGCGTGTTTCGACGCTGCAACTGCAGACCCGAATTTATTCCAGGACTCGGCAATGCCAGTTAATGATAGAGATGCGATAGTATCACTGTCTGATATAGTGTCCCAGGTTCAGTCCACTGCTTCAAGGGTACCATCTACCGCTGGCGAATCCATGGGTTTCATGCAACAGTCACCTAAAGTCGAGGAGAAGCTATGGTTGGATCAGCAGTCGTTTGATGATTTCAATGACATGAATTTTGACCACATGGGGTCTAACCCTGAGCTTCGAGTCACTGTCGAGATGGTAGAGCCTCCATTTCGTCAACCAGAAGAAAAGCTTCAGGATCTGAAGCCCAACAGTCAACTATCGCCTTTGCTCCGCAATGCTCTGGAGCAAGATTCAGGCTACCGCACCCAATCAGGGATATTCGATGGACCGGATATGGACCTCAACACCATGTTTAAATGAAGAAAAGCTCGAAGTAATGCTTATGACCATCATTCGCTTGTTTTCCAGCGACCCTGTTCTCTTACTTTTCTGTCTTTGTTGGATATCTCCTTGGCTATTTTCTTGGTTGTGCGGATAAAAAAGATGTTGAAGCATAGATATCATATACTTTGAGGACATCGCCGTTCTTTTGGTTCTTCTATTCTTTCGGTCGATAGACCTACTTTTGTCTTGATTCAGGATCTGAGTCGCGGTATAGGCGTAAGGCGGGTTACGAGGCGCTTTTCTTAACGATTTCGATGAATTTGGATACAACCTCTTCATGAAATTTCTCTTATATGACATGGCTCACGCCAGTATTCCAAGACTAACTCGTTTCTGTTCGATTATGTATTTTTTTAGTCATGCAATCCAGATAACGCCAGATAAAAAGTAAAACGTCGAAAACTTTGTTCCCAGAGCCCATATTGAACAGTGCTTCCATGTCATTTCAGTCCCGTGTATCAATTTCCAGATCCAGTTGCACGCCGTTCGAGATGCCATAGTCTCCCAGGGTAATGTGATCTTTGAATGGCCTCTCACTCTGTCGTTTCAAGATAATCTGGCCAGGGTCACGACCGATTCGGGCGGCGACCATCATCTTCAGCTGGCCCACGGTATCAGACTCCAAGCAGGGTACAGCAGCTTTCGTACCAAGTCGATCGTTGACGTTGACGATGATCATCTCCTCGCCTGCCTGAGCCACGGGAGCCTTAGGCTTCTCTTCCTTCCTTTCCTTCCTCTCCCTTCTCTGATCCCTATCGCCATCTCGCTGTCTGTCCCGTCCTCCATCACGGTCATCTCGGCGGTAGTTCCGGTCCCTGCCATGATCGCGATCCCGATGTCGCTGCGGTGAGCGTCTGCGGAAGTCACGGTTTCTGTCGTTGTCCCGACGCTCTCCCTTCCACTTGAAGCCGCCCGATCCTCTGGGTCTTCGCGCTGGTGATCGCGATCGATCTCGGGGTCTGCGTGGAGGCGAATCTCTGCGGTCGCGGTTGTTGTTACGATTGTGCGACCTGCTGCGGTCTCTGCGCTGGCGACGTTCATCATTCTCTCTGTATGTATCGTCGCGACCTTTGCGATCGTCCTTGTCCTTGGGAGCGGGTGATTTTGAGCGAGCTCGGGGCTCCGTTGGTGGTGAGTCTGTCATAGTGGCGAGCTTGCAGCTACTATTGCGACAGCTTTTATTCTTGCAGAGGCTGTGCTGGTTGCAAAGTGGAATGCGCGGTTCTTCAAACAGGCTCTTTGTTTTACTCTTGGATGTACAGACGGGAATGAAAGCGCTGAGGCTGGATGATTTTGAGATGTAGGAAAGTGTTGAAGAGGCTGAAGTTGATTGCGACGTCACGACCTAGCTTTTCGAGAAAGACGGGAGCTCCACTTTTTGGCAGCTCGAAAAGACATCTGAAATTCTCCCTATTACAATCACTGGAGGTAGCACCAGTTTTATATTGGTACCTGTGGGGATTTCGAGTTTCGTTATCTAATAGAGATACGTAGAATACTGGCGTGGCTATCGGGTAAGTTTTTAGTTATATACAGGCGAGTGTATATGCTGCCTAGAATTGTTAAAGTGTTTGTTCTCGACGACGTGGTTAGATCAGCTGGGCGTGTGCACTATGGAGGCAAGACTTACACAAACTCACTAAGAAAATTATATACTTCATCAATATATCACTTCATTGCCATACCCAAGCCCTGTTAAGTCTTATCTCGGCTCACACGATATTAGAATGAGTATTGATCCCTGTGGTTTCCTTGATATAGGTGTATACAACATTTTGGTTCAGGGTAGGTAAAAGCCACATTCTACTATGGCATCTATTTGCGATACTATAGCAAGGCAAATTTATGTCAAGACCGTAGAGAAAATTTTGCGGGAAAGGACTACGAGATTCGATATATTATTTGATTTTTTAATGAACCCATGTCATAAGGATAGGGTGCTCATTCGGGACAACCAATTCGAGAACTTTGGCAGCTAGTGTTCCTGTTTGTGGTCTACCATCAACCGCCGCAGTTTGGTGATCACAGGATCAGACATATCAGTTCTGGGACCTTGATCTCAATGCGCTGGCATGCAGTTCGGGATTCACACCATGAAAGTCATGACGGTATTGATCTGCTGCTAAAGTTTAGGCCAAAGGCGACAAATCATCATTGTGATGGCACATGTTGATATGCAGAGTAACCTCGTATTGATGACTGAAAGTACGCACGGGCAAAGCCTCTTGGGCTAATTGGAACTTACACTTGATGCAAGTGATTGAGCCAGCAAATCCACTGTGTTTCTTCGACTTGACACACTTGAGAGAACAAACTTGTTTGCTTGGCATCGCAGTTAGAGTCGATATCCGTTGCTACGGAGAAACTTTGACGTCAACGCAATTGTAAGAACCAAGTCCGTCATTGCAGGGCTGAGCATCACCATAACAAGGACCAGGGTCTAAGTCATAGCCGAGAAATTGAGGAACGGAAAGCTGCCGCTTCAAGGCACGCGACCCGCATGGTGCAGCGACAGCGACAGCGACAGCGACAACGCGTTGACGACGAGACAAGTGCGCTACACCAGAAAAGGATAGAATCCTTTTGCGTGGGCGTCGCACAGTGTGGCCACGTCAACATTTGGGCTGCTGAAGGAAATGGTGGTAACGATTGGACGCAGTGTAAACAACACAGCGCAGCGGTGTGAGGAGGACGCAGACAGGAATAGAAGCAAAATCAAGGCATTGGGAGAGCCTATACAGAGTTATGCAGTGATGCACCATAGAGTGCGTACAGTAGCACATGGCACCCACGGCACCCACGCGGTTATCCAAGCGAATCCGGGGCGGGTAGCCGATCAGCGCTGACATCCAGGCTCCAACCTCCAGGCTTCATAACGACCGGGCCTTATTCTTCCAGCTCCAGGGGATTTGGCAGAATGGCGTACCCCAGCCAAGTGTTAAACGACCGTTGAGTCGACCGGGATTGCCGTTGTGGCAGAGTTTCAGTTCAGCGGAGACAAAGGCAGACGAGCATAAAAACAAAAAGAGCACAAAGGATTCATAGGTAATGGAGAAGAAAAGCAGCCTCACAAGGCATTGTTGTTGGGAGAGATGCAGCTGATGGATGCTGCCTACACATTGCGCGTAATACTCGTTGTTGGGGGCTGTGACTAACACAAAGCTGTTCTTGAGACTTGAGAGAAACGCAATCAGATAGAAAATTAGACTCATCTAACTAATTCTCATTGTAGTAGCGCTTCGATTTGGCACTTTCCGCTTTCACGGAAGAATGATGGACGGTCTTTCAATGTTCTTTTGCGCAACTTGGCGCTGCTGTCTTGGCCTGGCGCTGCTTGTCTTGGTGATGTGTCTCAGCGGGTGTCGGCTCTATTGGTGTTGGGGGCACCAATTAAGGTATGGCGCCAGGCACAACCCGACGCAGGAACCGCGGGTGTGCCTGGTACCTTTTGATGGTGGCCAATCAGCCAATCGACGACCGCTGAGGGAAATTATGCAAATTTTACTTTTTTGCGCTGTTGTGAAAGTGCACGAGCAACGACCAGCGAGTCACGACACTTGAAGTGAGGGTCATTGGGCTGATTAGATTGGACAGAGACTTGCAGACAACCAATCAACACTCAATTCCACTCTAAAAACGCCTTATCCAACTAACCAAGTATGTTCCCGTCTCCTCAACCGCTCGTGGCCCGTCAGGACTCTACACGAGTAGCGGCAACGAGCGCCACCTTTCTCCAGAAATTATTAATGACTTTTTAAGGTAGAGCGTCTTTTTCTCTTTAATTCCCTCATCTTCCAGTCATTGATCTGATTTGAGTGGGCTGCACAATGATTTCATCGCCACTCAACGCATCCTCGTCGCCTGTCTCTGCTGGTAGCCAACGGGAACAATGCCTAATGCCTAGAATGCAGAGTTTTCTTCCCATCCATCCATCCATCCATCACACGGGAGACCAGGGTCTCGGATCCCCGGTGAAACCCTCTTTGTGCCTCCAGAGTATCAAATTCTGCCGCACAAAGCGTTAGAGAGCCGAAAGCCTGGAAGAATGTCATGGCCCATGGCAAGGGATTCGAATAAAGGGTCTAATAAGTAGACATGGCCTAGGCCCAAGTTTCAGCAACCAGATATTGACAGGCCTGCTCGGTCTGACTACCTGAAGCTGTCAAGCAAAATGCGCTGTAATTTCCCTCGAGGAGCATGACAGGCCTGGTCAGGTCACAAGTACTTGAGACATGACCGACGAATAGGGGTCTGTCCGTGTTACATGTACCAGTTTAATGGGCTTGAGCCTAGTCCGCCCCTCCCATCCCACCATCACCAAACGTCGCCTGCGCTCTGGCTCTGCCATTGCCAGGCCTTGGTCTTGGCCTAGAGTCAGGGTGCGTGCTAGTGTGGGCTGCAGAAGCTGAGAGTTGCTGTTTCTCTGTGTTGTTTGCTTCTGCTCTCAGGTTCCTCGTAGTATTTCATATGGATCCTCCCCCCGACTCTTGACAGGCCACCCTTCTACGCTTCGAAACAAACTTGTTCTCGGTCCACAGACTTCGTTGGCAGAGTCTATCTCGCTCGTACATTTCTTCGTTGAATACATACATAAGTTACTTTACTTATTAGCTTGTGCTTCTCGCTGTCTGGATACAGAGCATCGATCTGTTCTCGCTTCCAACTCACTCACTCACTTATACCAACCGCAAACGCTTTGAAAGCACTCACTTACACAACCAACACCAACACAATGCATTTCTCTAAGCTTATCCTGGCTGTTCTGCCTGCCTTCGCTCTCGCTAACGAGGGTACCACCACCCACACGTCCACCGCCGTCGTTACCAAGACCTACTACCTCTCTCAGGTTCACACCATCACCGCCACTGGTGTGAGCACCACTGCTGTTGAGACTTCGGTCGAGGTTACTTCAACAGCTCTCGTTGAGGAGACCACCACCTTCTGGCCTGTTTCTCACAACAACACCACTCCTGTCTCTACCCCCAAGGCCTCTAACACAGCCGGTAGCACTGGTGGTTCGTCCGAGCCCTCCGAGGTTCCTGGCAACGCTGGATCTGCTGTCGCCGTCGGCAAGTTCGCTGTGGTCGGCGTTGCTGGTATGGTTGCCGCTGCTCTTCTGTAAGCGCGTTCTGTATGGAACGAGGTTCCACTAGAATCTCGAGACTGTCGACTTGCATCAAAGTCGACAACAACCACTGTCTCCCATTTCTTGTCCATTCACCTTTTATATCCTGGTCACCAGCGCGGCCTATTCTTTATGATGAAACGCCACGATACCAACAGCAGGTCGACACTTGTCGCCTGCTTCACCTTGATGAGTCTTGAGACTCTGCCTGCTGGATAGCTTGACTGCTTCCTTACGCTTCATCACGCCCGCTCTATTGACAAAACATGCGGGCTTTCAACTCTTGCTGTTTCTTTCTTCCCCGGCAGCATGTACCCAGCGCGTTGACTGCGCTGCGTATGGCTCAACCTTTCGAGTTGTCGCTTGTGTTGAAGGGTAGCCGTTGATGTTCCCAAGCCTGTTTACATCCACCATACATACCACAGTTCCAAAATTCCTCACTTGAGGATATCACTCCCAGGCTTGGTAAGCACTCAATGGCTTTGAGATCATATCCCCTTCCTCCGTCGACAGCGGGTACACACTCCTGGCTGGAGACCCTTTTTACCACATTTATTCAGTCAACATCTCTTCACTCGACTCTGCTGCCCTGTAGAGAGTGGTTTCCAAAGAGACGGGGACGACGTCGGCGACGTGGAAAATAATCCATATTCACTTCAGTAACTCTGCTTCTCGGATGAACTGGTTTTACTATACTTCTCTATTGGCGATACCCCCTTTTTACGACGGCGCAGGTGATCCAGGATCTAGCTCTGCTTGATCTTTGGAGGATGGTTTGCAGCTTGGAGTATGGCTTTGATTTAATTCGGAAGGGGTGGGATACGATTTACATGAATAAGGAGGATTGGTGAATTTTGAGTGTCCGATGCTGGACCAACGATGATGAGCCATGATGGATGGCTAGTAGATAGTATGAGAGCAATAGACTTTGTCACGCTCAACGATGCTTGGACCTTGCGTGGAAGTGAAGACGCGAGACCAGGTGTTGCCAACTCGACATGGCGTGGAAATCAACGTCCGGTGACTAATCTGAACAAGCGCGAAAGGACCCTTGCTGTAGAATAACAATTTTCGCCAGGGTTCTCTGTCTCTGTCTGTCAAGTGTTGCTGTATAAGTTGGTTCAAAAGTAGATGAGGCTTAATACCAGATGTCTGGTCTTTAACCATAGAGAAGTCAATGAATGATCTACAGGCCTCAAAGTTCCTAACCGATGATTATTCCATTCTTTCAGCCTCCGCGGTATCGCGGTATTCGT